AAACTCTTCGACAGACCACCACCGGTTTCGCCCTTCTTGGGGCTCATCAGGTAGGCGCATTCCCCTAGTTTCCATCAACCTTAGGTTCTACTTGAACCCAAATTGGACTGTTCTCGAGAACTACATTCATTTGCCCGGAGAAGGGCGAAACCGGACGTGGGCTGTCGAAGAGTTTTCAGCAAACTTGTGAGTAATTTTCTTTATGAAAATATACTGCAATATCTCGGATATCGTGCCAACTGAAACATGAGGCGGTCTGTGTGCAGCACATTCAGTTGTAGAATATCACAAACGAGAGATTCAGCTGAGTCCCTCCCGAAAACCATATTGACTATCAGAGTCTACTTTTTCAAGAACACGGAAAATAATATGCAGTGTAGAATTCCTCTAAAGCTTGTGATGTGCAGTAACCCATCAAGTTAGTTTTCCAAAAATGAGAGGTAAGAGGCAACAGTTTACTTTCGTATGTTCCAGGATCACTTGTGCTTTTAGCATCCGCGCGGAGAAAACAGTTTTATATACACCACATCATATCCGACGCGAGCATAGAGGCTGACCTGATCGAGGGGAAACGAAAGACAACATCCTCGGTGGAGGCATGAACTTGGTATTTAGCAGAGACTTAGACGGAATTCATCTGAACCCTTCTCGTACACATTACATTCCTCAGCTGAACGTGCTATACAAAGTCCATCTCATTTTTCATTTGGAACGGTACTCAGGAAATCGAAGTGTGTTGCAATACTACACATGAGATTGTTGAACGACAGAGTGAGGTAAGTAAATTATCTTTATCGTAGCATACGTACAATTTGGTAATCAACTATGAGATACGGAAAATGTGAATTCGGTGACTAGGCCTACGTGGTGAGCCTCAAGAACGGCGGTATTGAACAGTCTAGAAGTTTCATAGACCTTATAAGTTGTATAAACGGTACCAGAATTTTGCTGTTGAAACACTGACCACATTGCAACACAAGAATCGGACAGCCAGTTGTGGATCTTAAAACTGTTCTTGCCCAAACGATCATTGACTGTGCACGTGAAAACGGTTGTCACTTGGTTCCCCCCCCGAGCGTAGTCACAAGATTACAGACACTGTTTTTATCGTATCCATACGAAGATACTGGCAGCCAAAGTTTTTGGGTCTGAAGACCTTCCGGATACCATTCCTTACAAAAATCAGGGTGAGGTCTACTCAGCGACCACTGTACACATCGTGCTCTTACATTACCCTATTGATCGAATTAGCCGTATTCTGGACGCCATAACAGCAATGATCGTTACGATCTACCGTCCATGTACGCGTTTTGGCTTGAATTTACTATTTTTTACTTGATTGCAACTTTACGAGTAGTGCTGCGTCAAGCAAATTTACTGTGATAGGTCGAATAACCCATCCACTGAAGCATGAGACAGCCTTTGAACATACTTGGTGGTCGTTGGCTTGTTCACTGAGCTGGGCAATTTGATTGCAGACGTTTCATCACCAATCGAGGTGACATCATCAGTGCGTTATTGGGGAGCGTAGTAGTGCGTAGCGGTGGGTTGGTGGTTGAATATACTATTATATTCAATTGAGGAATACCATACACGAGAGTTCTGGCTAGACTTTCAAGTGACATGCAATCGGGGGCATTTTGAGAAGACTACTTTAGAATTTTGCCGTCAATGGAGAAAAATTTTCCTCGGGAAGTGTGAAGCCATGAAATTAAAAAGGGTAGAAAATTGGCGAGACCGGTAACAGATTGTAAGGAGGCTTTCGGTGAAATTTTTGTTGTCCTCTTGGTAAATGTGAAAAGCGAGCGGCATAACTGAGTCCCACGTTATTGCTAGCGTAGTTTGCTGTTGATAAATTCGCATAATTTTGCGAATCGAAAAGGCAAGACTCAGTGGCGATCTATCCTCACTTCTGTCAGGCGGATTTCTCGCAAACAAAAATTGTTGAGTGTAAATCCACTGTGCAGAGTTGATTTAATCAACAGATCATTTTCACAAAGAATGTGATGGGCTTACCTTCCTCGCTGTTGTGGTTGTCAAATTCTTTAGCCTTTGTGATATACTGTTCAGACTTTGCTCGAACGCCGAAACCACTTGTGCCTGATCAAAGACAGAAAAATGAACAAATATGAAATGGGGCGAGTTCAGCTATTGATCCGACAGGTGATGGAAAATTGAGAAACTTCATCAGGCTATTATGGTTCCTCTGTTCATCATGACTTTGGTCGCCACAGAGTGGTGGCTGAGCTTGCAGTGGTGATGGGTGTGTTTTTCTTTCGAAAACACATGTGACTTAATTATTCTGGTTGCCACAAGTCAGAGTACTGCTCACTCAAAGACCTTTCAGACCGAAGAAGCAGTGTACTGCTGCCATTTACGTTCATTCCGTGCCGTGATGGCGCCCAGCAGCGAAAAAAAGACCCATCACTTAAAGTGAAACAACATTCACCGATTTCAGTCTCTTGTTTGTGACAAACACCAAACTACGGATCACTTCGTAGCAAATAGGTTCCCCACATATTCGTAACTTCGTTCGAGATATTCGTTTTAACCTCAGCAGAAGAAGTAACAGCCACATATTTTCGAGGGGAAGAACCTTGAAACCTCATTTTTAAAAAGACTTTAAAGCCTTCCGTTTTTGACGAATACGTAACGTCCACGCTGAGAACTTGTTCTTCACGGTGACGTGCTCAATACAGGTCTGTTACAAGTATGTGAGGCGTAACACAAGTATAGCATACATAATGTTTGTCAGGCGAAACGCCTCGTTCCTCTGTTAGAACCGGTTTAAACTGAATAGGAGAAGACAAAATATCCAAGATGTGTGGCGTCGGTTCCGACACTAGTAAAAAAGAGCACATTGGTAAAATGGTCACGCGATTCATTTTGAACAACAGCAGGGTTGTTGGTCCGTTGAATGGCATCGGAATACACACCAATCGCAAGCCATAAGCAAGGAACAGACACAATCACCAATTTCGGAACGTGTGGATCTGCACTGTGAAACGGCTCGTTGGGCTTCACTAAAGGCACTAAAGGTCTTGATCAAAGTCAGTACGAGCAACTTCAATCAAGTTTATCGCAACTTCCTTGATGCGGTCAACTCATGAGAGAACTGGACTTTATGGGAACTTGTCTATCCACATTCACTTAGGCTGGTTTCATTCAAATGCTTTTGTTTGTTCCCGGACCAAAAGTTGAGTCTGAATGTCTTCGGTCACTTTGCAGAACGTTACTCTCTCTTCTCTCTTTCATGCTTTTCACCAGGTTAAGCAAGCTTTATCTGGAGCTTTATGGCACCCTAAGAGGAGGTTGCATTGAATTCATTTTCCCTAGAGGACTGATATCTAATGGACGTCATCAGAAGTAGTCCGGAGTACTATACTGGATACATGTGACGGGAGTTTACTATGAACATCTCGATAAGATAATGACAACAAAATGTCTTGTAATTGATATTCCGTCCTGTCAGTGAGGCTGAAAGTCGAGATGCACTGTGTGGCGGTTTCATCAGAGAGTTTCGAACCAGCCATTCCTGGTTAGTAGTTTGAACACTAAACTTCTGGGCTAAACAAGTGCGATTGGTCAGCACCATTCGTGATTCACTCACACAGGTCGCGTCAGGTGATCGAGTATCGATTGCTGCCCCGAATAATCACTTCTAAGGTGGAAGCTACTTTCTCTCTTAGAAGTCTTTACACTGCTGAAATGAGGCAGACTACTGAGAGCTTTTGGCAAATTCATCGCTTTGATAGCAGAAAGCGTCATTAGACTGAGTAAAAGGGTGTGCTTCGCGTGAGTCATAATTGGGGTTGTTTAACGTTTTCGAAAAAGTTTGGTGGCAATCGGTAGATTTATTGCTGGGCAACGTTTCACTTTTGACACAAAAGCTTCGTCAGGTCAAGTGACTAGGTTCCGAGGTTGGTCGAGATTTAAGGCGGAAGGAGAATCAACCAGCTAAGTCAAGCTAAAT